GGATACATCAAATACATCGAGTACGTTGGAAACGTCGGATGAACTTCACACGATAGGACTGCAACAGGACCGATTTAACGCTGTAGGAACTTTACCAACCGGGGCTCCGGAATTTTAAAGAAAAACAAAAAAAATCAAATGGCAACGACGAGGGGTTATTCACTGGGAAATCAGTGAAAATGATTTTTTTCTTTGAGAACCGATTGCCTTTGATTTTGTATGACTAACAATAAAATTCTGCAACAAGTGAGGTTCGACTTTAAAATTGGGCACTGATCTATGTACTATCTGGATAGCTGATTTACAAAATGGCGGAAAGTTTCGAAGCGACCAAAGTCCATATTTTGTTAAAATACTTACGAGAATAGAGATAACCATTTTGTTTTAGTCGAAGCTTTCTTACAATAAGTTGCGTGCACGATTTTACACGTAAATTATGTCTCTTCTGTCCTTTATATCTTAAACGTTTACTTTCCCGAACTGACAGTTCAACCTTTGTCATTGCCGCGATTGACGGATTGACGGTTCAAAACTTTTGCACATGCGCACATATTACTTATTTAGTATCGCTGCCCATATATAGTTGGCGCTGGGGTGCCTTGGATTCGTTGAAGCTCTCTCCGTATAGAACAAATAGATATCAGTTATCCTGTTAGTATGTAGACCAGTGAAATTGTCAGAATGTTTCGGTGATTTCCAACGATTTCCCGGTGATGTCCACGTGATTTCGAACATTAAAATTCATGATTTCTTGAGTGAATAACCTCTCGGGTAACACTAAAAAAATAGAAAGTTGCGAATTATTTTAAATTTCAGAATCACGTGATGCTGAGATAAATGTGGAGATGAATGGAACGTGCGATACAAATGAACGTTAAGAAAAGTCACACCGGTATTCTTGGAATTAGTGTAAATTTAGAAGGGTATAAGATACCGATTTTTCGTTGGACATAATGATGTTAATGAAGCTCTGAATATTTGTTATATTTTTTGCCCTTTCGATTGTTCGCGGTAACTAAATTAATGATATTCGTTATGTTGCAATAGGTATTAATCATTTAACAGTTTAAGATATTGAACGCATAAAACCGTCCCATACTGACACGTTTGTGTTTCAGATCGACGAAACATAAATAACCGATATTCTGAAAAATAGCGTAGATGTAGGAAGGATAATTCAAGCGCAGTCGCTACGTATCTAGTACTTATAGTTTCTAGCAATTAAGAAATATGTCAATGATTTGTTAATAATGTGTGGTAACTTATAATTTTACAATTATTGAAATTGATTGAAAATATAAAATGTTCAATTAAAAAGAATTTAAGATATTTAAGTTAAAGCTTATACTATTACTATCTGTAGGTACACCCAGATGTTTAGGAAGTCAAGTATTTCATGGAACTTCTGTATTAAAATCATTACGTATGGAAAAAATATGACTTCCCGTCCGGTACGCCCCTCAGTTTACACGTTTTCGAGGTGGAACGTGGCAGCGCAAAAACGACAAAAACCAGCAGCAAAAAAAAGCGCTGGCTTATTTATTTCCAAGTTCCATAGCCAACTTCTCGAGTCGTTCCTTGCTACCTGAAGCTCCGAGGGCTCCGACAGAAGAGGGGAAGGCTCCTCATATTTTATATGAAATCCTTTATGCTCGACTACGGGGGCACCTAGCGTATCGAATAGGACTTAGGAGGCCAGGACGATATTTTGACATGCCCAGGAAATTAGTATAATAAAGGGGACCCTCAGTAAAAAGGCTGGTAAGTGCCCTAAACACACGCCGTAAATCTCCCTGGTCTTTCTCTTTTCCTTGTGTCTCGGTTCCTCTTCTTGACGGACCTTAATCGAGCAAGAACTTCCAAGACTACCGGAACGTGGAACGCATTTTGATCGATCGAGCCACTTTTAGGGCGGTCGTAACAGCTTGCCTCGTGTACAAAGAATCTAACTGAAAGTGCAGGACAAAAGAAAGTAACTTAATCTTATAACGTAGTTGGCCGAATTTCAAAATATATTTCTTGCCTAAGTAAAAGTATAACTATCTATTGAGAAGGTAAAAGTCATAAAGCTGTAACGATTCCGTAGGCAAACTTGTACATTGCTAGAGAAATAAACTTGGACGGAAGAAAGTTTTAAGAGCTACCCGCTACCAAGTGTCTCTTGACTTCTAAGGGAACGAAACCCATTTTCAGACAAAAGGGCTCGTACGATTACAATGTCTCTTGTATTATAAATTATAAATACTTAACGAAATTTTAAAGGGCAGCGAATATACGCTCTCTCTCTATATACCCTTTGGTGAGATAAAACTTCCTGTAATTTTAACGGTAACTCTTGGAATTTAAAGCTTCTACAAGAGCTTCCTTGATGAATGTTAAAACCAATTTATCGTTGGATAAAAATCATTACACGTAAGGTTCGACTACTCTCGAGGTGATGTGGGCAATTGCTTTTTCCACGGAATAAATCTCTAATGGAAACTCAGTCGGTGCTGACCGCCCATTTACAACCCAATGGACACCTCTCGAACATCGCACTCCCCGGAGAATGCAATTATACGTATATCTCCCTCCAAGGGAACGCCATCGGGGATTTTCGAGCCCACCCGATGGTTTCCCGCCTTTCTTCGCTTCGTAGATCTTTGTCGTCGAGTTTCCCGTTCAAAGAGAAGCTCGGCAAAACCCGAAGGCGTGCAGATCGCGGACGATCGAGGATCTTCGGGGAGGGCCAACAACGAGGTGTCTTGACCTGGTGAACAGGCTCGGTACATTACCTAGTTTCACGGCTGAGCGGTGCCGGTATAATGGTCAAATAAAAATTTAGCCACGGATCATTCTGGCGGCGAACCGTTTAAGTAGCATTGCGAAAGCGCATTGCGCGATTCGCGCCGCTTGTAAATGGAATCGATTGGATTTTTAAACGTTCCGACGACCGAGGACATCCGACGGGGTCCTGCGAGACGTGTGTCCGGTCGAGCTCGATTCGAAGGTGGTCCTCAGGGCCGCCTATCGAGTAAAAAAGCACACCCCCCAACAGTAACTTGAAACTGGAACGTCCTGTAATTTTAACTGCCGTGCTAAACATAAAGAGGGACGTCTGCGATTGTCACGAGCTCGGGAATTGGCGCGTTTATTAGACTTACGCGTGTCATCGCGACACGACAAATATGGCTAGAAATGCAGGGATAAATGTAGTATTTACAATTAATCTTATACGCGAGCGTTAAAATATTTCCTTTGACACCAATGTACGCGATAGTGTAGACAGCCGAGGTAGAGCGCAAGAGCACGGGTACTAAATCATTAAGTTTGGAACATTTTTTGGAGAACTGTTTTATAAGATTGACGGTTCATTTCGGGCTTGTTCGAGTAACTTAACCGATGACAAGTGTAATACGAAATGAAATGCCAAATCTGGTAGGGAGGTATTTTCACGAAACGGAAGTATTTAGTTGCAGTGTTCTTCGCGTATGTCATTGCGGGAGGTTAAGTTGAAATTTAACAGATTAGTACCTTGCGAGTCTCTTCTAGGCGTTGAATGTTGAATTTTAAGCGCATACATATAAAAGCGATATGACTTGACGCAACTTTAAAGTAACGGAGAGTATGCTTGATTATCAGATTTCATATGCGTCCACGATTAGAGAGAAACTTAGTACTGATCGTTGAAATACGTAACTTTATATCCGCATCTAAAGTCGTTAAGAAATATGGTTATAACTGTTTTAACCTTGTGCCGTGAAATCAAATCCTTTTAAGTAAATTATTTAAGCCCCGATAAATTCAAGCGGATATATAGTAGGTAATTTTGTTTTTGAGCAAGTAATGTAATACCTACCTATGTAGCTAAATAAATCTACGGCTAAATAACTACGTATATGATCGGTACTCATTTGAAAAATACACAGGTACAGGATTACTAAACCCTATTTTTTTCAGACCGAATCGGTATCGTTCCGTTATTAAAGTATTCTCGAGAAAGTTTAGCTTCGAATGTATTTTCCAGATAAAGAAATATTTTCATAACGAGGGAGCAGGCACGGACTACAAGTTCAATAATGCCGTATCAAGAAAAGTGTAAACATCACCGTACAAGAGATCCAGTTGTAGGTTTGTTTGTATGCATGGGGCGTGGCTGGCACCCGCAAGTCCTCGCTAGACAATGGCCTCATAGTGATTCCAGTCTTGCGCACCAAGTCGAACGCTTCTTCGACAACGATCCGAGCAGTTACACCCTGGGTCACGAAATGAAGTGCGGAAAAAAAACATACATCAGGAGAAGAGAAACTGTTTTATTTCATTCGATGCTTAATCACTGTACAGGATAGGTGCGAGTTCGGTTAACGGTATCGAAATCCCCTCGCAAACGTTGCAACACTCGAACGTGAATAAATCCCTCTTGCTCGGTCGTTTTAAAAAATAACCTTAACGTTGCTCTAAGCTCCGCCGACTACTTCGCGGTTTCTCCCAGCTCCAAAATACAGGCAGCGACTTCGTCCGAGATCCTGGGTGACGAATCGCTTCCCCGCTTGGCGGCCATCCCTCCGGGTGTCATCCACGAAGTCAGCCGGTTCACCTGGAGCGGGGACGTCCGACTCGGTCTTACCATCGGGGCCCGCGGCGGCGCAGCGGGCGAGTTTCCATGGCGCGAATACCTTGATTAGTGGGCACTCTCCCTCTCTCGAGTCCCGGGGCAGAACAAACACGTTGGCAGCCAGCAGCCATCCGGCCTGGGTAGAGCCGCGATCGATCTTTTTCGGCGCGTTTGGCGCGGCGAGAGCGGAGGACGCGCGGTAGGGGCAGAGGCGGGATCCGACGCGCGGCCTACAGCGGTCACGGGCCGCCGTCCTCGCTCCGCCCCCTCCGGGGCGGGAATGCGGGCACGGGGTGCGCGCGCACCGCCTTATGCCGGCGCGTCGCGGGCCGCGGAGTGGGGGGCCTCGCGCGTGGTCGAGTGGTGGGGGTGGAGGAGGAGTAGGAGGCCAGTGGAGTTCGGGAAGTCGGGCAGCGCAGACGCGTTGCGCGCCCTGGCGATCTAGGTTCCGGCAGCGTGCAGGGGTACCTCGTAGCCCGAGGGAGTCGAGGCGACGACGCGTCTCTCTGGGAACTGGCTCGAAGGCCTGCTCGCGGCCGTCGAAGGCGCGCTCACTCGCGGGAGGAGAGACAGAGAGAAAGAGAGACGGAACCACCGCTCGGGTGGCCGCGGAGGCGCGAGGACTGCCGCGAAGACAGCCGCGCGTGAGTGAGCGAGTGATCGCGGAAGTGGCCGACCGCAGAGAGTGCGTCGTCGGTTGCGCTCGGAGGTATGCCTGCGAAGGGGGAGAGGGGAAAAGCGACGGACTTCAGCATCGCGGCCATCATGGCGCCCAGGGGTCCGTCCTTCGGGCACTATCACCTGCAGGGCCTCGCTAGCGCGCCCCCTAGCAACGTCGAGTGCGGCGACAAGGGCTTCGCCGCAGCCCCGACCGACCACCGTGAGTTCTCAGACTTCCTCCTAACCTCGAACTTCCTAACGCTCCTCGCCAGTCGTCCCTGGGCAAGTCCACCGCGCATAGGTAACTCGTTGCTCATTTCTTCTTTTCTTCTTCATCTTTTCGTTTTTCTCTCGACTCGTGTTTCGCCCTGATCTACGACTCGACGCCCGGCGTCGCGACATTAGGCCTCGTAGATCCTTCGTCGCCCCCCCCCCCTTTTTTTTTTCGTACTTCTTCGAGGACCATACTTAAGTACGCGATGACGGCGAGTTTCCGATGTGCCGGTCCTTCCGGTCTCACAGTTTTTATCTCGCGGCCTAATGGTTTTCCCGATACCTCGGTGACGAGCGACGCCGGTGGACGCGGCGACTCCCGTCGGGCGATGCGCGCCGCCGAGGCAGAGAATACGGGTTTAACGAGATCGCCCGCTCGAGCCCGCTTCTCGCGTCCCCAGGAAATTTACTACGAGGACGTCGGAGGTTAATTCCGCGTGAAGGCGGATGATGAATGCCGACCCTCTCGTGCGAACCCGCTCGTCGCCACTTGCGAGGATCCGCGTCCTTACGGTCGCGCGCCCCTCCCCCGAGTCTTTTCCAATTTCAATTAATAATCGTCTGCTGCCAACGAGGAGAGCGCGGGAGTTTCTTAGAGGTGGAGATTCCGAGACGTACCTACGTCTTCCCGAGGATGGTTGCTTCTCGTTGGAGGGAAATAGCGAGATAACACGAGGAGGGAAAATTTCGCCGAGGGTAATTAACTCTCCTATTTATTGCAAAATAGAGGTATTAAGGGGCTTTACTTAAATGAATGTAAAGTACGTGACCCGAGTTCTTTTATGCGCGGGGGAATATTTGACGACTTTTAAATTCATTTTTATTCGGGACGGTGGGGTTATTATGTAACGACGTGGCTGAGATTTGATTAATGGAGGTAATGCGTTTTTTGGAAGTTCAATGCGGGATTGGGTAATCGTTGAGGGCTAGACGATAGCTTGATTATCGTCGAGCGTTTTAGGATTCATGGAGAATTCTTGTTCTGCCATTCGGTGAATTTGTAGGCAGTTTTTGATCAGCTGGTAGCGTCGCTGGATGAAAATAAAAGTGAGTCTGAAAACTAGTTTTTTAAGGCGCAATGCAGACTCTAGGTGCCAATTATCGCAAATATCGGTTACGACTAGGAAGGCAAGGAACCCGAAATCTGGGAGAGCTCAATGAAGAACGGAAATCCGATCGTAAAGTTGTTCCGACAATGTGTTCTAAACGTAAGAGATAACTTTTAGAATCACCTGTATTCCATGTGAAAAACATTGCATTAATGGTTCTTTAGAGACCTGAAATATTTCGCATCCGCTGTGACTACTGTTTACGACCTTGTATTTGTTGTCAAAACCAGGAGCAAGAAATACCTTTCACCGATCATTTCTGGCGACGCGTCACAACTCTACCTTTTATTGTCCTTCGCCGGCTTCTATCGGATGCTCAAATTAGGACATCCAGTTTTACGCAATTCATTGTAACGATTTACGTCGGGAAGTCGGTACATAGAGCAATCGCGATCTCGCGGGCCCCGTGAGAGACGCCATTTCCATTGTGGCCATTACAATCGTAAAGAAAGGTCGGGGTATCGGCAGAACCGATTTCATTGGCGATACGCATTCGCCTTGCCTCCGAACGGGCCGAGAGCGGTGGACGTGTCTCTAGGTTTTCGGCGCACCCCGACGCCGAAGATAACATCTTGCCGGGGCCTTCGGAAATGAAGACCTGACGCGACGAGGAAAGCCAAGGAACAACTTCTTCCGACAGATGTTTACGCGCCGAAGTCACAGCTGCTTAAGACCCGGAGAAGGCTAATTTTGAAACGGGGTGCAGCACGTATAGCGATGCATCACCCTAATAATCATGGAACGCATCTCGTCTCTTATGCCACGCATACCTACCGCAGCGCCCAAAAAGGCGGAAGACCCTCCCTCCGTGTTTTCTCTCTCTCTCTCGCATTTTTCGGATTTCATTGCTGGGATAAGTACGACATTACGATCAAATCGGGAAGCAGTATCGCGGTTCGAGGAAGATATTGAATCATTGCGATACCGAGTCCAGGGTTCGGAAATAAACGGCGAAGGACGTGGTCGTATTTAATTCTAACGTTACATCGTGTTATGTAATTTGTGGATATCATTGAAGGGATACGCCAGGGACTTTTGTATATTAATTAAGGAAATTAAGGAAGTAAAATATGACTTAAGATGCGCGACGCAAGAGAAGGGAGGAAGAACGAAGTCGCGAAGTTCCGCGTTTTTGGCAACGAGTTTCCATCCATTTTTTGTTCTATTTTCGGTAGTGCACTGTTGCACTTTAGAAAATTCAAGTGGAGCCTGTTAATCCATTTTTTTTCCCCACGCTTAAGTTCGCAACGTATCCCCCTAATCGGTAATTTCTCAGTCGAACGATATTTTCTCAATATTTCACGTATAATTGACATATTGAGCGTCATCGTTTTATGGGAGGGATTTCAGAATCGTGTATTTTAAAAAGGGTACCTATAGCCCCCTTTATTTTTATTTCCCAACTTGACACCTCCGGATAGCCACTTAGGCTTTTGTCCACCGATCAACCGAAGGGTTAAATCTGACGTTCTGCATGTAAATAGGTGTAGTTTACCCAACAATGCATCGCTACCGTTTAAATGTGCTTCGGAGCAAGAGAACAATCGATCGACGCGGCGTTTTGGGCCTACCAGTTTATTTTCACTCTCGAATACCGTGTGGCAGTTTTAACAAAACACTCGGAATCCAATATTGACTTTACGTTCGGCATATTAGTCCTCTTTTCCCAGGTCGACCAGTCCTTCCACCGCCTAACTATAGTTGCCCTCGCCACTGTGTGACCCTTGAAAGGGTTACTGCGGTTTCGCTCGCTCGGGAGTTTCTATCAACGCTAATGCATTTTGGGCCATGTATAGGTGTATACCCATTGTTGTGTTTCGTCCCGGGTCTGCTCTGCGGACTCGTCGGTAAGGCTATCAGGCAGATCCTGCCTTAGACACCGAAAAATCTCTCCTGAGCGGGATTCGAACCCGAGAGGATACGTGGTACGAGCGGTGAGCGTAATTGCTGGGATATCGAAGGCCCGTGTAGCAATAAGAACTTCTGATATATATATGCTAAGACCGCCACAGCATATATGTGGCCTACGTAAATCCCACAAAAGTTAGCGCGAATGCGAATGTCGCCGCGTCGAAGCGCCCAAAATTTTTTATGCGTAGATATAGGTGAGAGCGGGAATTCGCGATATTATTAGCCGAGCTGCATTGCGTTATAGTACTACGTGGTACAGGCAAAAACATTTTACGCGCTCTTACTGCCTCGAGTCCGTGACAGTAATTCGGAAATTTGTAGTGAATCGCGCGGTGGTACCGCTTTGCGCCTACGACGCTAATTAGGAAATTTGTAATGAATTGTGGTGGCGGTACCGCACGAATTTCCCTCTCTAAGCTGTTAGGAACTGCTTAGAACACTGAGAGGTGGTCGGTAAATCCACCGAGATGAGGCAAAACAACTGGGATACATTACGCGTGCGCGTGGATTTGTGGGGATTACTCTGGTTTTCTTAGGAGGGAAGAAAGAATAGGTTCGACGAGTCGTGTGGACACCTAGTGGTCAATTTAGAGGTGGACGCATTGTTAAGGTTTTCTGGGCTGAGGATTGTTTCGTTAGTTTCAGGCGATTTATAAGGGAATGTGCAATAGAAGTGCCAACGATGGAATTCGCCCAGATGAGGTGGCAGTAAACATGTGGAATTTTCGGGGAATAAATTGATTACTTGCGACATCGAGTAGTGTTACGATAATACGGGTATACGTACGTGATTTTGGTCGGAGGCGAAAGCTCATTTAAACGTTACTTATCCTTTGGGACCAATTAAAATTGATTCGTAACGTAGAAGGTTGTTGTAAGTAAATTTGCATTTATATGCCAAGCCAGTTTTGTCTCGGTTTCTTGGGTTCGAGCGTGTCACGATTTCTTAGAAGATGAAATCCGATGTTAATGACGATTGATAATGCAACATTACGTTCAGTACGCATGACGCGCCTTGTCAGCATCTTGTCTGGTATCGTTAGAAAAAAAAAATATATATATAGACGTCTCGAAAGGTTTATTTACATATTTCTTCAGAAGACTTTCATTATTCACATTGAAATTGACGTGTATATTATTGCTGAAGCGTGTACTATTCGTTATTCACGGCTTCAGTAATATGTCGTGCACGAAGCGCGTTGTCATGGACAGAAGTCAATTTAAACGCTGCGCTTAGTTGCACACGTTGGCTGTTATCACAAGACTGCAACCCGTGCGGTTGTAGATTTTTTTAATCCACGTGTCATGCGATCGGTATTTTAGGTCGTATTTAGGTTCACTCTTGTCGCTGTGGTGTAGCATCTGTTAAGAAGAGTAAAAATGCCGATAACAATGTGAATTTATCACGTGCTAAGCATAGGACGATGTCGTACGCGGACCTACACGAAATACCATATTTTCGCATGATTTTATTACAAGCTGCCGAGATGGGTGCATTTGTACATTTAGCGGGGTGGCGTGACCATGACCGCTAATATCCTCTTCGTGTTGCCGTTCCTCGTTTTGCTGGTATTTGTTTTCGAAAGTAACACAACGTTAATTTGGCATCTCACAACTCATTTGGTTACATAGTCGTTTCGGGCATGAGGACGTCCATCCGATCACTGATAGTACGTTATCGAGGCGTATCGAGCCGTGACGAGTTAAAGGACGTGGGTGGCGAAAAATAGTTGTGATAAATGTAAGACACTTCTAACCACTAATCTTTCCTCGTTCGAGGAAGAATTCGTATTCGACAAGCACGACCTCTGTAAATTTGCCTACACATTCGGGATTGCTAGAAATTAGATTCGCGGGCGATTGTTAAAGGATCGATCCCGAATGACAGGACTTTTGTCAATTTCTAACAGATATTATTGCGAGTAAC